TGGTTTTTTTAAGAAAGGGGAAAAAGGGGGGCAGGTAAGCCGAAAAAGGACCGTTTTAGATACCATTTTTTAATGGAAAAAAAGGATCACTTTCTGTGGTGTTCACGAAGTCTGAAAAATGATTAAAAAATAGAATTAAAGCTACGCAAATAAGGCGTAGTTTTCTAGATGGATCTAGATCTAGCACAATTGAAATTAAAGCTGCGTTCAAAACAGTGAACATGATAATGTGGGCTGCAGTACAGTACAAAGTGATAATTGGAGTCAAAGGGATAATAATTTCCCTCGCATGTCCTTAGGCTAGCCAATCAATATTTTGTTTTAAAGTTGGTGTGATCTCAATTTGAGGTACTACATATTTTGCAAGGCTTCAATTATATTAGCCAAGATATAAAACTATTAGTATTGAATGAAACTATATAAAACGTTATGACAATGCTGCAAAAAATCACCCCTAACTTTGAGGTCTATTAGCTTCTTAGGTCAGGATTTTACGAGGGGGGTATCATTATTTCTTTTTTTTAATCGGGAACAATTGACAGTTTGTAAAATCAGCTTTTTATGTTTGATGGAAGGCAGAGCAGCCGCACAGTGTCTTGGACTCTTCAACAGAGGGAACCAAGCACAAATGGATCGAGATATATTGACAGCATGTATAATACTGATCAACAGGTCTAGCAGTTCGAAATGTTACTTTTACAGAATTGGCTGGTAGCAAATGATTGATAGATTTCTATCTGTGTGGAAATTAATAAACAGCCTGAATAAGAAAATTGTGCCCAATCTGGAAGTCCAGCGGCTTTCGTTCGTTCGTCTGCATTGCGAGTAGCCAGGGATTTTTCGTCGGCGCAAGAACAGGACGAAAGCACATTAATTTTATAGTGAAATATATTTCTTTGGGCAAGTCAATCAATATAAATGATGCCAAAAAGGCATAGTGATAGTAATAAAGTTATAAACCACTTGCCCTCACTCAAAGGCTGGTTTTGACCATAGAGGCTTGGTCTTCAAGTGTGTAGCCTTTTCATCAAACACACTTCCAGTGTGGCAATACGTGTTTAATAACAAGGGACAGGCGACGCCTGCATAACATTAGGAAGGGAGACAATTACATGGAAACTTTATTAGGGGCTGTTCAAATAATATATTACTTGTACTACTACTACTACTACTACTACTACTACTACTACTACTACTACTATTATATCTTTTGGGCTCGGACTCGGGCTTGGGACCAGAATGTGTAGGCGAGGTGCCGAAATAGGCTTATCGGGCCACATAAACCCGGCCCCCGCAGGACGAAAGTTAAGGCAGGTTCCACTGTATTGGAATTAATTGTTGAGGGGAAAGCAAAGTCAAAGCAGAGAAGTGCAGCAAAGCCGCCGCCGCCATCATCACTCTCTCTCCTCAGTCATCATCGACATCATTGAATTCATTGTCATCGACTTCCCACTTCCCATTTTTAGGAGAGCCAAGACCGCGAAATCGAGACAATTGCTGAATCTACAACAAGTGCTGCAACTCATACATTCAATTATTGGAACACAGCCTCAGAAGACAGCAAAGCACATTAGGAACTTGATCTTACCTGACTGAATTCATCCTCTATATTATCATAGAGATCGATATCTACTCCGTCCGCCATGTTGACTGCCTTGGGTGGCTTGGCTGATGGCTGGCTTTTCTTCTTCACTCGTTTTCAACATTCCCCAGATTTTTACTTTAGTCTAGAACATTTTTAACGACTCGCAACAAACGAGTTGAGAGTGCACCACAGGATTCTACACGTGTAGAATTCTGTGGCATGCACAGAAATTATTATTATGTTGTTGTTGTTTGTTTTTGGTTTTTTTAAGAAAGGGGAAAAAGGGGGGCAGGTAAGCCGAAAAAGGACCGTTTTAGATACCATTTTTTAATGGAAAAAAAGGATCACTTTCTGTGGTGTTCACGAAGTCTGAAAAATGATTAAAAAATAGAATTAAAGCTACGCAAATAAGGCGTAGTTTTCTAGATGGATCTAGATCTAGCACAATTGAAATTAAAGCTGCGTTCAAAACAGTGAACATGATAATGTGGGCTGCAGTACAGTACAAAGTGATAATTGGAGTCAAAGGGATAATAATTTCCCTCGCATGTCCTTAGGCTAGCCAATCAATATTTTGTTTTAAAGTTGGTGTGATCTCAATTTGAGGTACTACATATTTTGCAAGGCTTCAATTATATTACCCAAGATATAAAACTATTAGTATTGAATGAAACTATATAAAACGTTATGACAATGCTGCAAAAAATCACCCCTAACTTTGAGGTCTATTAGCTTCTTAGGTCAGGATTTTACGAGGGGGGTATCATTATTTCTTTTTTTTAATCGGGAACAATTGACAGTTTGTAAAATCAGCTTTTTATGTTTGATGGAAGGCAGAGCAGCCGCACAGTGTCTTGGACTCTTCAACAGAGGGAACCAAGCACAAATGGATCGAGATATATTGACAGCATGTATAATACTGATCAACAGGTCTAGCAGTTCGAAATGTTACTTTTACAGAATTGGCTGGTAGCAAATGATTGATAGATTTCTATCTGTGTGGAAATTAATAAACAGCCTGAATAAGAAAATTGTGCCCAATCTGGAAGTCCAGCGGCTTTCGTTCGTTCGTCTGCATTGCGAGTAGCCAGGGATTTTTCGTCGGCGCAAGAACAGGACGAAAGCACATTAATTTTATAGTGAAATATATTTCTTTGGGCAAGTCAATCAATATAAATGATGCCAAAAAGGCATAGTGATAGTAATAAAGTTATAAACCACTTGCCCTCACTCAAAGGCTGGTTTTGACCATAGAGGCTTGGTCTTCAAGTGTGTAGCCTTTTCATCAAACACACTTCCAGTGTGGCAATACGTGTTTAATAACAAGGGACAGGCGACGCCTGCATAACATTAGGAAGGGAGACAATTACATGGAAACTTTATTAGGGGCTGTTCAAATAATATATTACTTGTATTATTATTATTATTATTACTATTACTATTATTATTATTATTATTATTATATCTTTTGGGGGACTTGTTGCCCCCCTCCCCCCAACCCCCCTTCTTACACTTTTCTTACCTTTGCCTCTTACCCCCCCCCCCCAATCCTGTAATATTACATTGTTCGCTTATTATTATTATTATTATTATTATTATTATTATTATTATTATTATTATTATTATTATTATGATAATAATATTGGTGTGTAGCATTTTATATCACGCAAAGACAGGTTGAGGATGTTTGTCGTATAGTGTAATAAATCTTGAGCGTGCTTCCTCTCAGCACATGACACCCTAAGCCCAGCATTATTGACTTTTTCTCACTGTTACTAATATTTTATGGCAAAATGCTCTAAACAGGAAAAAGCTGTTTCCGATCGAGATGTCGGCGTTTTTAGATTTTAGTCTATAAAAATGTTATTTCTCAATCTTTTTCAATTCTGTTTTCCAAGATTTGAAGAACACTTTTTAATTGGAAGAATCCAGGGTTCTACATTTACTGATACTGATACACATGATTTTCTTAAGTCAAAATTATAAAAGTTCAAATCTTTTGTGTTCAGTTCAAAATACATTTCACATTTCACTGGGTAGACTAATAATATTAATGACCAGTTTAAAGAGCTAACCATCTCATATTATAGTTCTCTGATCGGCAGCAACAACAGCATGACCACCTACATAGGTGCAGCACAGACTTGCCAACCCCGACAGCTACCTTTACTAATTTTCTCATATTTTTACCCCAAATCAAAGCCATTTTTTTTATATTTCCAGAAAAAAATCATATTTCTTAAAGTCTTGATTAAAAAGGTGTCGGGGCTTTGAAAAGAGTTACTACTACTACTACTACTACTACTACTACTACTACTACTACTACTACTACTACTACTACTATCCACACTGAAATCGTAGCATAGAACCAAATAACATACTACTATGTGAGGTATTGCTATTGCTGCCGCGAAGGACCGGGTGAAGTGGAGGTCCATGGTCGCCAATGAGTTTACTTTTAATCTCCTTGATGGTCGCCCACGCCAGTCGGCAAGGCACCGGATGATGATGATGATGTGAGGTAAATGTTGATGATGGCTTGCAGTCCCCCCAGGTGCGGAACACTTGGGGACTGCACAGTCCCCGAGAAGTCTGTGCCTCGGACGACCCCGGTAGCAAACCCGCTTGTGGCTCGTGCTCGCAAGCCCCTGGTTCAAGTCACAAGCCTCAAACCACTAGGTCAAATCACTAGGTCAAATCATCAAATCAAATCACCGGCAATATAACTTAATATAAGTTGAGTCTAGCCTAAGCTTCAAGTCCACACCAACTAGTGAAGCCACTCGTGTCAGATCCCGTCATCCTCCCCATCTTGCTTGCAATCAGCGAAGCCAGGGGCGAAGGCTGACTTGTTTGACAGGGTAATCAAAGTGAAACGGGACCAGATATATATCTATATGGCCTGTAGATATCACAGAAGAATCTTACTCGAGGCGGCGACTCCGAGTTGTGAATGAAAACAAATCCGGAATTCATATTGTATGTTCAACCGCCAAAATAATCGGGAAAGTATCTTATTAAATATCAGTTCCAACTAAAATTAAATTAACTTTAGGTGTGAATACATAAACACAAAGCAAAGAAGCAGAGATGTCAGTACTAGATCTATATGTTATAGACCTACCAGAGAGTCTAACTCTTTGGTAGAACATGACAATTATCATTTTTAAAATTTCACATTTGGCTGTTTTTGTTAGCCTTTCGTGGCCTGGAGCTGGAGTCATAATCGAGGTCACGATCTGATTATAGGACAGTAAAAAGTCGAGGAAAAAAAAACCAAGCACATGCAGCAGTAAAGAGATTGTTAGGAGTTAGTTCCCCTCACATTTGTGAGGTAGACTCGACCAGTGTTCGTTAGCTTACTTAATCAGGGCTTGGGATTGATTATAACTGTGGCCCCAAAGGGGTGAACAGGGTATATGTGGCAATGAAACAGCCATGACTGCTATGCACATGTTCCCTCAAATGTATTGGTAGACTCTTCCAGCCTCACTTTAAGCTTACTTAATCAAAGCTAGAAAAACAAATGAAGAAGTCCTGGTTGAAGCAAATTATAGAAAACAACTTATCACGAATATAAGAAAACGACAGGCAATTTTTTTCGGACACACAATGCGGAAAGAAGCATTAGAGAACATTGTAACAACAGGAAAGTTTGATGGAAAGAGAGGTAGAGGCAGACAGAGGGAAAAGATACTGGACAAGATGACAACATGGCTGGGAGCAGCAAGAACAACAGACACCATTGCTGCTTCGAAAGACAGATGGAAGTGGAGGTCCATGATCGCCCACGCCAGTCGGCAAGGCACCGGATGATGATGAATCAAAGCTTGCGACTGCTTATGGAGTGGCCCGAGAGGGGTGAGGAGGCTATTTATGTGGCCGTGAAACCGTTTTGAATGTTAGGCATACTCATTGTGGATTACGAACCTCTTTTTACTTTTAATTTAATAGGTTTACGTTTAAGGATGAATTTGACAGCGACAATGTTTCAAAATTAGGAAGGGAAGCAGTGATTAATTGATTATATAGACGCTTCGCCCCTGAGCGAAGCCACTTACGTTATAAAAAGAGATGGGGAAGAGAGAGAGAGAGAGAGAGAGACCCCGCTCACAGTGTCACTGCGCGGTAGAGCTGGAGTCTGCTCGATTAATCGAAAGCTTGCGAGCAGCGGACGGCCGGTAAGTCTCAAATCTCGCTCTCAGCACAGCAAGTCCCATGATTTGCTTTGTGCCCCATGACTTGCTCGCAGCCCGGCAAGTCTCTTGTGCCCCCAGGATTTGCTTTGGCTCCTATGACTTGCTTTGGGTCCCGTGACTAGCTTGCAACTCGCAACCTGGCAAGCCACTTGCAGCAGCAGCGAGCGCTCACAGTGTGAACTCTGAACCGTAGAGGAAGGGAGAGGCTGTGCTTGTTTTGGTGCAAGACGTAGAGAGCGGAAGTTATTTTTAACTTCCCGCTGTTGATCAGTTGAGCCAGTGGATGAAGTAAGAGGAAACGTGGTATTGTAGTAACAGAGACCTAGCATTGTGTTTCTGGTAGTAATAAGTAGACTTAGATTACCTTAGAATGGAAAACTCCTGGGGTCGTTGTGATTGGCTTTTGTAGCGAATGTATGTAGCCTATTTTGTAGATGTTTTACACACCCAATGACATAATACAGAACATTTAGGAGACGGGCTAGGCTTACTATAACCCAATGTCAGGGTCAACCTGAGCTGAGAGGGAACAACGCCCCAGCAGAAAGACGGAGGTTCTCAGTAAAAATTTCTCCCCATACGGGAATCGACCTGAGGTCTTTTGCGTGCGACGACGAAGCGCTTGGCCCGTGCACATCACCCCCACCCCCCACCACGGCCTTTGCATTGCAAGAATAGCTGATCCATTATTAATGTTTAAGTGCGTTGAATAGATCTAGAGCTTTTTCTTATTTACAACCAGACTATGGAAAAAAATCCAACAACAACAGTCTTACACTTTTGATGCAAGCCTTTCAACGCAAATAACCAGAATCTTCTGTAATATGTACGGAGCCCACAGCCACGAGAGTTCGCGACGTCACGACACAGTAGGCCCAGAGAGTATTTATCTCTCCGTGAGTCACAACTCACCAGAAGCCTCCCCCCCCCCCCCACTGGTAGCGAGCGGGAGGCAAAAAGCAAAGCACAAGCCTTTTCGCAAGCCTCTGGCGCAAGCACTGACATAAAAAGATATTTTTAGGTCAGTGGGCGCAAGCCGTCCGCTGCTAGCAAGTTTTCGATTAATCGAGCAGACTCCAGCTCTAGCAGCGCTTGTAAACGTCCCACAAATAATGTATGTTTGTGTATGTGCGTGTTTGTTTGTTTGTTTGTTTATTTGTTTGTGTGTGTGTGTGTGTGTGTGTGTGTGTGTGTGTGTGTGTGTGTGTGTGTGTGTGTGTGTGAAAAATTTAATTGGCCTCATGGTGTTTTAACGCTCACATCGACACAATTTAGATCTTTTTGTTTGCAGGCTGACCCTGCCTGTCAGGGCTAACCCAGGCTGAGAGGGATATTATACAATATCCCAGCGTGAAAGACCGAGAAACAGGTTCGTATGTTTTATAGCTTCTTCGCTTTCAAGCCTGTCCAAGTTAAAAATAACCGAAACTCATTTATTTTATACGCTCACGAAACATTGCGTGGCACTTCTGCAGGTCTGGGACCGTACAAAAAAATATATGTATTTTAAAAAAATCATGATCCTGTAATAAAACAGTTTTTCACTTTTGGCCCTATATACCCCCCCCCCCCCCCCCCACTCTTATGATGCATACGAAGGATCACAAAAATAATGACTTTCAGTAGGCCTTTCAGTAGGCCTAACCTCGCCGACAAATAGCTCATTTTGAGAGAGCGACACCTCTGCCCCCTCATTTCAGTGTGAGCTTGTAGAGATAAACAATTTCTCCCTGTTCGGGAATCGAACTCAGATCTGCGAGCAACAGCGAAACGCCCAATATTAGCCTATAATTTTATTATTAACGCAGGCAGAGTGTGTGTGTGTGTGTGTGTGTGTGTGTGTGTGTGTGTGTGTGTGTGTGTGTGTGTGTGTGTGTGTGTGTGTGTGTGTGTGTGTGTGTGATCCAATTCTTAGATTTTGAATTATTTGAGATCAAACTTCAACATCGTACAGTGGGGTAAAAATGTGCTCCCTGACTGTACTAACGACGACTTTTGCAAAACATTATTTTAGCTGTGTACCTTGGGTTGGGACTTGACTTGGGAGACCTAATTCATATTTTGTAAAGATACGACAGGGGAAACGAAAAAAAATTGCACCATGGGAATGTTAGAAACAAGATGGCGCATGTAAACTACTCCTGATTTGAAAGGGCATCTTGCCCAAATACACTGGATAAACATCGATTTCAGTAAGAACGCAGATGCTTTAAAAGATTACAGCTTTTAAAAAATGTTTTGATGTGACGCTCCTGTCATGGGACGTTAAAATATATTTCCTTACTCTTCTCTGAGACTAGATTCTTGGAAAGATTTCCTATTTTTCGAAGTCGAGTCGTATAGAGACCCAGTAACTTGGAACAACAAAGTCACGAAGTATACAGACCCGGTAAGGGAAATCTTTTGTGATTTCGCAAAGTTTCAGCGCCCAGACCCGGTAGAGTGTGTGTGTGTGTCTGTGATAGGGCTGGATCCCGCTCGCCAAATTTAAGAACTTGGCGATTCGCGATTCAGTCGGCTTCAATCAAAGAATCGTAAGTACGCGAGCGCTCGTGGAACTGTGGCGGAATACTGACTGAAATGGAACAGTGTCATATCAACGCCACTTGGCGAGCGCGGGTCCCAATCTTGTTGTTCTGCCATCCTCTCCGCCCCACACCCTTTATTGTGCTGCTCTATCAACTGACCTCAATAAGAAGAAGTGACCTCCATAAATTCACCCCCCCTCCTCCCCAACCCCATGGGCGCTTTTTCGGTAGTTCCCACCCCGCATTTGTTATTTGCCGGTTTTGACAAGGTGGGGGGTTTCAGGGGGGCATGCCCCCCTGAATTTTACCACAATTTAATGTTTTGCAGTTGTTAAGTTTGACATCTTAGCTTGCCGCGAATCAAACGTATATAGATCTAGATGTAGGTCAGGCTCTATCAAATAAGGGGGGTGGGAACTACCGAAAAAGCGCCACCCCATGATTCGCTAAAACAATGGCTCCTTAAAATTCCGGTGCTTTTTCGGTAGTTCCCACCCCCCTTATTTGAGCCTGACCTACATCACTATACGTTTGATTCACGGTGAGCTAAGATATCAAACCTAACAACTGCAAAACATTAAATTATGGTAAAATTCAGGGGG